AAAAATGTACTATTTTTATTTGTAGTTTTAAGCTTAATTATATTTAGCTAATTTTTCAACTATTGCCATATTAGTATTTTTTTACTAATGATTTATGGGAAATTATAATTATTTATATTTCCTCGTTTCAGATTCAGCATTTTCTTCTGTTAATATAAATTTGTTTATATTATTCTACACTTTAGTTATAATCAAATAATGACCGAATGTCTTCTAGGCAGTTGTAATAAGATGGGAATAAAAAAAATGGTTTTGTTTATATATCTTGAATAGTTTTTCAAATATTTATTTGATTTTAGAATATATGACGTATATTTTATTATAGAGTAGTAAATTACAATATCATTTTAAATAATTACCATTTATTTTATAATTTTCAAAAATAGAAAAAACATGAGATATAATAATTTATTTGTATTTATTAAAAAAAGGTGGTATGAGAATTTTTAATAAATTTTTAAAGATATTAACTTTTGATTTAAACTATAGGCTATCATGAAATTGTAATAATAAAACATTCAAAATTTACGATACTTCAAAAATGTTTCAAAATATTTTTTGATAAGAATATTATAAGAACTAATACTAACGTATCTTTGAATTACGTTTATGAAGAAACGTTTATCAAATTTATCTTGTTTGCTTACTCTTTTTGATTTTGTGTCTTTATATGTACCGAAAATTAAAATTTTTAAAATAGCATTATCCAAAAATCGAAAATAAACATTTTTGCATATCTTTACGTTTCAGAGGTTTCTGAACGTTTTGGCATACCGTAGCAAAAATGGATATGTGTGCGTATGGATGTATGTAGTTTGTATATATGTATGGATACAATTTTTCGTCAACGTTTGAATTATTTAACAACCATTCGATTCCTATTGATAAGGAAACGTTCTGATTAGTTTTTGGAAAAGGTTGGTCATGTCGTTTCGGAGATAGAAAGTAAATAATGCAGAAAATAGAAATCCAGTTTTTTGAGTACAAAGCATCCTATTTGAATGATTCAAAGAACATTCAATTCGCAATTATGGAGAGAGTGGTGAATAGTTTTTCGTAAAGACAGGCCCAGCCGTTTCGGAGATACTGGGCTGAATGTTCAAAAAATTGCAGTTTTCAAGAGATCGATTCATCCGATTTGAATGATTCGAATAACCTTTTGCTTGTATTGACGAAACGATTATTTTTGGGGAAAGTAAAAAAAAATCTTTTCAAAGAATTTTTTTTAGAATATAGAAAATAATTTGGACTTTAGTTTTATAATAAGTAATTTAAACTTTGCAATTCAGTTTATATAATATTCTTAGAAATATGAGATATTTGTTTATTCACTTTTTATGTAAACTAACATAATCATCATCATCCAATTTATAAGCTCTTTTATTTTGTCTATAAAATACGAATAATGAAAGTTATAGTATTTATAACAATATATTTGAAAACATTTAATATTCTTCGAACATTTCATTACGGAACGGAAAGTCCAGTAATTTACCCTAAGGCACGATGCCATACACCACTAGTCTTTTAATGTTCTGCATTTTTTTGAAGACTTTGAAGTTTTTTAAAGCAACCGTACTGCGTGGCAGTTTTAGAGAAGAAATATAGATGCGCGTAAGCGCCGCGTCACGACAAACAATGATACGGACATTGTACGGACCCACAGAAATGTAAACAAAATTTTTATATTTATTATTAGAATATCTAATAATTTTATTTGCATATGTTTAATGATTATTTTCTTTTTCCACTCGATACCAAATTTAATCAGTTTTTCATTTTCTCAATACAAGTTTTTTTTAATTGTTGAAATCAGACCTTCGGTTCTCTTAAAACCGGAATTACCATTTTTGGCACTTTTTACCCTGTACCTTCGAAAAGGTTGGACCCGCCGTTGCCAAACAACTAATCAGCCCGTCACCCCACCAATAGGAAACGAATGTTTTTTGAATCATTCAAATCGATTGATCCGTGCTCTCGAAATCGTAGATCAAAATTTACATACGTAGATAGTACATACACATACACGCCAAAATGTTCAAAAATCTTTAAAATGCAAATACATGGAGAAAAAATATTTTTGATTTATAACTTACGAAAAGTTGATAAAATATTATTAATGTGGCTTAAAACGATATAGGGTTACTATAGGTAGGAGATTTGGTATTATGTGATTTTGGAGTTGAATGGTATTTGATTTGCTGAATGATATTCTACTTCATTTTTCGTGGTTACTGTTATTGTAAACATGAATAATCAAAGTATTTTACTGAAAAATATATTTTACTAAATATTTATATTCTATTAAATGTTATTTTACAATGATACAATGGTACAATTCACAAAAACCTTTTATAAAGTATACTTAATTTGATGTTATGGTTTGCGGTTTATTATTTATGATTGTGGTTTTTATAAGCCAATTTATTATCATATTATCTACCAGCGTAATAAAATTTTATATTATTATAATTGCGCTTTTTATTAAAAATTCTAAAACACAGCAAAGTGTTGATATTATTCCATACATTTTATCAATTGGTAATTTCTGTGGGCACTTTATCATGCCAACATTTTGATCTTTGCCATTACAGAAGTGATTAAAGATCGAATATTGTATGATATATAAATAAAATTATCGTGGAAAAGACTAAAATTACGGAATTTCTTATGTTTGTTTAAATGGACTTATTTACAATATGAAAAAAAAATTACTACGCATTTAAGATAAAATTTACTAAACATATATGGCATTACAGGATCATGATTTTGTGAGTTAATTTTAATAGGATTAAATAGCATCATGCCTTACTTAAGGCAAAAGACCAGAAAAAAAAGTAGATTTTTTTGATAAATTTGTTTTTTTTTTGAATTTTTTTGAACAATAAGTTTCTAAAAAAATGCCATTTCTGAAAATTAAAAAATATTATTATTTTATTGTATTAAATATATTAAATTATTGAAAATTTTTGGAAATACTGATATTTTTTTAAAAACTTCAAAAATTTTTGAAAACACACATAAATACATTTATCAACTTTTTCTAATGTATGCCAAAATGAAACGCAAATATATGCAAAAAATTACATTTTCTATTTTTGGATGATTTCTATAATTTACCTACCCCGCAGGAAGTTAATAAAACATGCAACTAAGCATTATGGAGATGAGCAATAAATTAAAATCTAGTAAATCTAAATAATTGTTATAATCAACTAAAATTAAAACCTATATTTTTAATGTTTTACCTATCAATAATCTTGAGAAGCATAACACTTTCGTTCTAATATTTTACATAAATTTCAATTTTTTAATACGGATTAGGATTTCGTGCAAAAAGGTGTGAGAAAAATTATTTTGCAAATGTGATGTTTAATTGTGACTGAACCGTTTGTTCGATAATCGCTCAAAACTGTAGTAAATGTATAAAATGTAAGTATAAGGCGAGTCATTGCTGGATTGAACTTAAAACTAGTGGGGCGCATGTCATCGTGCCTTAAGGCAAATTGCTGGAACTTCCCGTACCAAAAATTATTATATTTTTAAAAAGACTAACATTTTTGAAAAAATTTCACTTCGAAAAAATTAGATTTTTGAGTTTGTAAAAAAAAATTTTTTTGAGAAAAAGATGTTTTCTTTGTTTTGACATATTTTGGAGATTCTGAACTTTTTTTCAAGGCAATCGTACTGCTTTAACTGCGTAGAGACGAACTGTCAAAGCGCGTAAGCGCCGCGTCGCCGTCTAAGGAATAAACATTGGTACGAAACCCATAGGAATGTAAACAAAATTTATACTTATTATTAAAATCTTTATAAAATATCAAATAACAATTTGATGTGTATATGTCTAATGATCATTTTTGACCGCCAAATGGCATTTTTTTTACTTTTTTAACTAGATCTCCGAAACCGCTAGACCTGCCTTCGTGAAAATTAGATCAATTCTCCATCTCGTCAATACAAGTAAAATGTTTTTTGAATTATTAAAATCGGACGCTACGTTCTCTTAAAAACCAAGTTACCAATTTTGGCACTTTTTGCCCCGTACCTTCGAAACGGCTAGACCTGCCTGGGCCAAAACTAATCAGCACGTCTCCTTATCAATACGAATCGAATGTTTTTTGAATTATTCAAATCGGTTGATCGATGTTTCCGAAATCGTCAACGAAAATTTGTATCCGCACACACACACATATATCCATTTTTTCTAATTATAAGGTATCCCAAAATATTCAGAAACCTTTGAAGCATAAAGATATATTCGATTTTCATTTTCGATTTTTTTGCGATTACTATAACTTGCCCTACGGGAAGTTAAATACAAGCTTCTTCACCAAATTTTGAGTTATATTATTCAATGTTACTTGAACCGCCGATATATTTGAAACTGGAAGTTCTTAAAGAAATATGTACTGTTTTTGAACGTCAATTTCTTTGCGCTTATATATCCATCAAGTACATGTTATCAATATAAAGTATTTATTGATTTAGAAATTTTTATCATCGATTTTTTTGTCAATATTCGACGCAGAAGAAATCGACGAATAGTTTTCGAATTTGCGAAATCGGTTCAGGATTTTTAATCAACGTTCATCCTTATCGATTTACATCAAATGGCTGTTAAATTTTTGAAATCGTGCAGCAAGTGCAAATATATAATTTTAGACCAACATTAAATTTAAAACATTTTGCATTTATTAGGACGTAACTAATACGTAACTATGTTAACATAATTTACATAGAATTATATCAATATTTTATCATTAAGTTCTTGAAGAAAATAATTCTTTTCAGCATTTCTGTTATGATCCGACACTTTTTTCCATAAAATGAAATTTTGTAATTGAGAGTAATTTTGTGCCCGGGATAATCAATTGATTATCTCATTATTATTTTCTTTAAGAACTTAATGATAAAATATTGATATAATGCTAATTCATTATTTATGATAATAATCAATTATGATTAGTATTCATCAACATTAATAATTATTGTTTTAGGGCTCTAAATTGGCAGCAGTATTTTTAGCAGTTGTGATATTGATGTTACAAAACATGGTAAGTTGTCAAAGAGGCTCTTATGCTGGATCACGGCCTATCGGATATCCTGAAGTTGCAGACAGATTTTTAACGGACGAAGAACGCCAATCCGCAACACTTCCACCAGTTGCGAATAGATTTGGTCAAAATGGACCAGATGGTCAAAGGATACCAGTTGACGCTCATGGAGACATTGATTTGATCAACAGGTAACATTGAGCCATAAATCATTGTTTTTGGTTTCGATTGAATCTAAACATTACTATTTCCAATGGATATCTCACAAACAGCATTAAAAAATTATCTGTAAATATATTATTATAATATATTAGTGCTTTTATGTCCTAAAATTCCAAAATGCCCTTATTCCAAATTTTAATTAAATTATATAATTCAACCATTTTTTGTAAGACTGTTTAGTGCATGAACTTTATCGCCATATCAAATTTTATGAAAAACGTGGAAACATTTTTTAAAGAAACTTAGAAATTATTTTTTGTAAGCTTAATATTAAGCGTTTGCTATAAGAAAAAATACTGCACGATTACATAGATCATGAACGGAATCCTAGATATTATTTTATCATTTAAATGATAAAATAATATAATTAATGGTAATATATTTTTACACAAAAAGAGAAGTTTAGTAGACTAAAAATGGCTTGGCCGGTTTTCTCGCAAAGCTAATCGCGGCTTCTTCTTATCAAGGTATTCCAATGACTTTTAATTTTGACTTATCACATCACAAAAGCGACTTTTGACATATTTTTTCAAATTTTAAAAAACCATTTAAAATTGAAGTACTTATCGTAGGTTAAGATATAGTCACAATTTAGTATGTTCTATAGGACCATGATGTCTTTCAACATAAAAAGTTTCATTGAAAAAAAAATGCAATAGTTGATTACGAAGCACGATTCCCAAATAATACAATTCGAATAGTGTTTGAATTTTTAAAATCAATTCAGAATTTTCGACTAAAACGTGGACGAAAATTTTCCTTTTTTCACCTATTTACGAAGAACCGGCTCGGCCGATCGTCGCGCAAGTCCTTATGGCAAGCGCAAGTCCTTATCAAGTTACATATTGAAAGTCTTTCAAATTTTTTAAATCAGTCTAGCGGCTAGACTCTAGCCCTCTAGCCGTTTGTAAGAAAAAGTCGACGAAAGGTCAAAAAACACACTCACATATTTCACTTTTTATCGTTTATTTGTGTTTTTTTATTGAATTAAAGCTTTTGTTGATTGACTATATCTTTATAGCTTCAATTATATCCATTATCGCCATATTTTATTTACTTGAGTTCTTTTGTTTTGTTACAGAATAAGCCAATGGCCTATAGATCATCAACCTTACTGGTTTATTAACTGGCAGTTGATAGAAGCCAGTAGAAATCGTCAACAAAATAATATGCCCACTAATGTAAACAGCAGAAGTTCGTTCTTAGGATGATTCTGAATAAAACAATCAAATTGCGATCAACAGATTCGGATCTTCATTGATTTCACATTATATATCAAAATCATTTCATCATTTTTTAATGAAATGAAAATTCACTTTTAATTTATTGCAATAAATACTATTGTAAAACTATTTTTAAATTATTAAGATATCATTATTTTCAATCACTTATGTAAGGCATAACTTTTGCTCTCTTATGTTATTTAATATAATTAGTATGTAAGTTTTTATTTATATATATATTTGTGTTTTATTATAATAATAAATCGAAGTAGATTGTTTGAATATTGTGTCCTTGTTTTCAATACAGAACAGAAACTTTTAGTGCAATATTACAAAATTGAATATGATGTTGAAACCTTTGTTGTTAGAAAAGTTTCATAAACTGAAACCAATATCTAAAAAAGTTGTCTAACTTAAAAACTCAATTAATTATAATTAATCAGAATTGATAATTGATAAATTAATACACTTATATAGTTTGTAAATTTGTCAAAATTACAAAAAAATGTTTGCACAAAACCAATTAAGGAAAATCGGAAAAGTGTTTGCAAACTAGATTTTCGGAAAAATAAACGTTTACATTAATCTTAATTAAGATTTGGGTTAATTAATTAAACAAAAAAATAAAGTATTGTTTCAATTAATAATTGAAAATCAATTAAATAATGTTTTATTACTTCTAAAAAATATAAATTCATAAAGGCTTATTAGATTTTCTTTAACACTCTGCATACAAATTAGGCAGTACAGTGCTTATGAATACTCAAGATGACATTGACATCTTCTTTATAGTTCCTGAAAACAAAGTAAATGCAAATTTTCTTTTTGTATGTTTCCTCCAATAATTATGCGTGTATTTTGGAGCTAAACCAAAAGCATTTAACCATACTTTTACCTCCTTCACTATACTTTGAAGTTTAGAAGATACATTTTTAGGTGCAAATCCAGCAGTTCTAATGAAGCATCCTACAATATTCCAAAAATAGTCCACTTTTTTTTATTGCCTCCCATGTCTTGTGAGCGTTATGACCCCAATGTTTTTCACTGGTTACAGAGGGCGCTATTTGTCCACGTGAAGCGCCCAAGATATTTTGTCTAAGACGTTTCACTAAATATTCCAAGTTCTCGTGTCCCGTATACATGTGATCATCTACTATTAATTAAAATGATTTAATAGAGTACCAGTCATAAATGAAATTGATAAAATAACATGGATTTAAAATAGTAATATAAATTAAACAAATCATACGAAAAAATTGGGTAAGGCTTCAGTTTTATAACCTATGAACTAAACAAGTTTACAAGCTGAAGTCTATTTCAACTTCAATTATCATATATGAATATTTAGTGAGTTTTTATCACTATATGAAACATTATCATTAATTAATTCAAATAATAAATCAGAAATGATTTAATGCAATTCAAGTTGCATAAACTTCTCAATATTTGTAAATTATTGGTTTAATCAATAATAATAAATAAATCAACAAATTTGATTTGTGCATGATCTACCTATCTACATCTTTACCTATCAAAGAGTCTATCTGCTTACCTATCAAGCTATCTATATATCTATACTTGCTTAGCTTTCCAAATTTTATATATCTGTCTACCTATATAACTTTGTCTACCTATTGACCTGTCTTTCAACCTATTGATCTGTATACCAGTCTACCTTTATACTAATCTAACCGTTCATATACCTATCTTTCTATTTTTCTAACCTTCTATCCATCCATCTCTCTCCCTGTCTCCTTGTCTATCTGTGTACCAATAATTCTATTTTATATAAATCACTAACGACAATTTTTTTATTTTTTTCCATCTCCAAAACAACTGAACCTGCCTTTCCAAGTAAAAAATTCTTCATTCTGCCAATACGATATTGTAACATAAGGATATCCCAAAATTCTCATTTTTATTTTATTGTACCCTATGGGATTTTTAAATTTTTCTCTTCTTATGAGAAGTTAAAAAAATGATGTGATTGCTACCTTGATGTTACACATTTTTTCATTAATTACATAGAGGCTTTAACTCACCATTATCACAAGTGATCTCTGGTAACAAAAACAAATTCACATCAGGCTTTTTTTCTATGCCTGCTTTTCTGCTTCTATAATCTTCAGATTTTTTGTCATAACTTGTTCCAAGACCACTACGAACTTTTAGTTTAGTAGATGCATTAAATATTGTGTCATATATTGAAGTATAGTATTTGACAGTATCATGAGAAAAATCGCTAGCTTGTGCTTTATTATGCACCAACAAGATATGAGCTCGAAATTGTTCCAGTATATTTTCTTCGGAGTTTGGATGTTGAGAATTAGTAGGCTGATTCAACTGAGGTCGAAGCATGTCAGCAGTATTTAAAAATCTGTATATTTAAAAAGATTTAGTATAGTATGAGATAAATATAATAAATAGAATACAACTTTATTTGCTCAAAAATTCAATACCATGCTGATACCTTATTTTTATTCAAATAAGAATTATTTCTTTTAATGTATAAATATAGCCTAGTCAGCAGGTAGTAAAAAAGTATGTACAAATTTATTAAAATATAGTGTCCTCATACCATGATCTGTCCTTAAGCAAAGCATTATTAGTTATAATAATAAATAATTGTATTTTTACCTAAGAATATTACTATCGAGAAACCAATCCTGGACTACTATTACAATGTGACAAGTAGCCAAGATAAAAGAAGCAAAGTATAATGATTCCATTTCCACAGCTACTTCATGGGTCATGGTCTTGGATTCAGAAGATATAATTGATTTGTCCATTATACTAACTGATAAAAGGGGCTGTGTATCAAGTAGTATAATTCGATTGGATGTTATATACATGTCAACTCCTATTAAGTTAAAAAAAAAATAGTAATGCATAATATTTTATAACATTTTCAAATACAATTTCATCTATATTATTTGATATGAGTAAGATAAAAATACCATCTGTGCAATGCAATCCAAATTTTAACTGATCATCAGTTTCAATATCAAACTTCATACAGTTATTTTTATTAGCTTCATTTTTCAAACTAGTTTTATCAATTATAGCAAGTTCTGCAGTCTTCTTCGATAACACATCAATATTCTGATTTGCACTTGTGGAATGTTGGGACATTTTATCAGATTGACTAGATTGCACATCACTACATTCTGAGTAAACTTCACTACTACTTTTAGAGTCAGATGAAGATTCCGTTTTTCTGAAATGGTAAATAAATAAAGAATGATTATCATCTTGCCTTCAAAGTAAATCAAAATTTTAGTTGTAAAACTAATAACAGCAAGAAGAAATTTTACAATATAATACAATTTGAACAACCAAGTAAAATGCATTGATGTCAATATATTTGTTCTCAGTTGTTTTTTCTTCTTAAACTGAATTCTAAACAATAATTAAACACAATATTACATTTACATAGCATTTCAAATTGATATATAAAAGGTATCAACCATTTCTTATATAAGTTTATAAAAAAATATTTTATTATAAACTAACTTTTAATTAATTATAAAAACTGATAAATAATTTTGAAACAAATAAAATTGATTACTGAAATTGGTATGTAACTCGAAAAAATGTTGCGATTTTACTTACAAACAGTCAGTTGATTCCTTCGTAGTAGCGCTATTATCCACTTTGTTCAATATTCTACTAGCCAAATTATGTACGTTAGATTGGGCAATAAGATTCAGTATTGTAGATTTGCCTACTCCTTGGCTTCCTAAAACGCCAACTACCAAAAAATCATTTTGATTTTCTATCAGATAATCAAGTGCTTGTGTATTGAATTCCATATAATTATCTATTAGTTTTACTGGTTTTTTCATTTTACATGATGATAAGTTGGTGGAATCTGGAGATATAAAATTCTATTATACATTAATTCACAACTACTGCATCACTATTATAGAATTGTTCAACAACAAAATAAATAGCAATAGAAGCTAAAAATCTTTTGAATGATCTTAATTTCATTTGCTTCTGTTATATTTAATTGTTGAATATTAAGTGTTAAATATAATTCCCCAGCAAAGCAGTGATTGGAATTTGAAAATCACAAGCTTGGCTTTGGTGCTGTGGCAGCTATGTGCTTTTCAGATTGCTACCGCCCCTCAGCGTTAATTATTATTTATTATTTATTTAGATTAGTTTCTAACTATAAATTCAAATCAATTATCCAATAACAAGCCTATGATTGTTATATTATTTTGAATAATAGTATTCAGTTTTTAATATCGTAATAATAAAATCATAAGAAATCTTACTATCTACAGGCGTAGTAACGACTTTTTGCACATTTCCCAATTCATTTTCTTTGTTCTGACTTCTCTTCGGACTGAGTGATCTTTGTGGATCTTCCCTTGTCTACATAATTAATTTTGTTAATGTATTTCATTGATACTTATATTATTTTTGCTGATTATTTATTGTTAACATTCATTATTGTAAAATCCATGAAACAAAGTAAACATATTGGATATATATGATTGATTAGTAAATTTAAACTAACCTTTATTAGAATTGTAGGATGCTTAGACGCAATATTTCCTGAGTCTTTTTCAATAACAGAATTAGATTTATCTTTTCTATTTGTATCCTTATGTTTTGCATCTCCATCTGGATTATATTCAGAATGCTTTGACAAGATTACTGGTCTTTTGTTAGCCTCCTACATAAAATATAAATCACTTAGTTATTATTAATCGATTCATATCAAAAAGATTATAATTAGCATGTATGATTTTGAGCTACAATTTAATAGTGCAAGTTAATATTGTAGCAATATAATTAGACAATATAAGTATTTTTAAAATTGTATAGAACATATTTTATTATAAATATTTTATGTGATGTTGTGCAAACCATTCCTAAGCAGATCACGATGATAAACTACACATAATTTTATATATAAATATATAATTAAACTAATATACAATATACTATACTAATATATCTAAAGCTTAAAATAAAACCTAACCTTATATGATATGTACTTCTTTTTCCTATCAGACATGGTTTTATATCATATCATTATCATTAAAAATGTACAAATTTATAAATAATTATATTTAATTTAATACTAATTAATCTTTTACAACTCAAAATTTTATGTTATACAAACTCAAGGAGTGGATTAAAGAAAATTTGCAATTCACGAAAACAAAATTAGTATTATTGTCATAAGAAATATAGTATATATTTTAATTTTTAATTTAATTTATTTTAATTAAAAAATATATTTGTATAATGCAAATGTATAAATTGCTCAAAAGTTTATACAATAAAGCGGTGCAATAACGAAATTTGACATTTGGCGTGGAAGGCAGTTGGTCAGCGATTTACTCAATGGTTTAGTCATAAATTTCGTTTAACGGAAGCATATATATATATATATATATATATATATATATATATATATATATAATTTTCTCTTTTTTATTTCTTTATATTTAATATATACTATTGTTATTTATGTAATAATATGTTTTTTTAGATTACTGAATAATGACACACATTAAGCGTCAAACCGTTTAATAGAATAAAGGATTTTTATAGTAGGGTAGTTATATATAAGTAATAGCCTATAGTAATAGGCTGAAAATCGAAAACGAAAATCTTTGCATTTCTTCACGTTTTGAAGGTTTCTGAACATTTTGGCATACCTCAGAAAAAATGGATGCGTGTGTGCGTGTGCGTGCGTGTTTGTGTGTGTTTTGTGTGTCCGCATTTTTTCGTTCTCATTTTCGGGCGCACGGATCAACCGATTTAAATGGTTCAAAAAACATTCGATTCCTATTGATAAGGAGATGTGCTGCTTAGTTTTTAGCAAAGGCAAGTCCAGCCGTTTCAGAGACACGAAGCAAAGATTGCAGAAAATAGAAATCGAGTTTTTGAGAGATCGGAGCATCCGATTTAAATGATTCAAAAAACTTTCACCTTGTGTTGACAAAACAATTGCTTTTGGAGAAAAAAATTTCATTTAATTTTTTCTTTTTTTTTGTAGATCGAAAATAATTCAGATTTGATTTTAATTCTGGCTAAAGTTTTAAAGTTTACTTTAAATGAATATTTTTGACTATGTGCTTCAGTCAAGTTATAGTAATCGCAAAAAATCGAAAATGAAAATTTTTATATATCTTTACGTTTCAGAGGTTTCTGAATATTCTGGCATACCATTAGAAAAAATGGATGTTTATGTGTGTGTGTATGTGTATGTGTATATGTGGGTGTGTGTGTGTGCGGATACAAATTTTCGTCGATGATTTAGGGAACACCGATCAACCGATTTGAATATTTTAAAAAACATTCGTTTCGTATTGATAAGGAGACGTGCTGATTAGTTTTTGGCGGCGGCAGGTTTAGCCGTTCCGTAGATACGCATCAAAAAGTGCCAAAATATGTAAATCAGTTTTTAAGAGAACAGAGCTTCCGATTTTAATAATTCAAAAAAGATTTTACTTGTATTGACAAGATGATTAACTGATTTTTGGGAAGGCAGATCCAGGGGTTATGGATTCTCAATAAACATAAGTTAAAAAAATGTCATTTTGCGGTCAAAAATATTTATTGGACATATGTACATCAAATTATCAGATATTTTATAGAGATTTTATCAATGTGTACACATATTGTGTAATTTTTTTTTTGGTTCCGTACCAAGATTTTTGATTACGGTACGAGAAGTTCCAGCTATTTGCCTTAAGGCACGATGCCATACACCACTAGTTTTTCTATTTTAATCTTTTTTTTTTTAATTCGACAATTAGGCTGCAAAATACTTCATATATTTATGAACCTTTTATTAATCTTTGGACAATATTTTTAAAATACATCAAAAATTTAACTTTAAAACAACAATCTGGTATACGAGGGAAAAGTAATGATGAATACATACAATTTGGCCTTTACGATATGTACAGTTAGGAGAAGTTTACGGCGCAATTTTGGATATTGTATATAATGAAAAATTAAATTAAAATAATCCAACATGAAATACCAGTGTTATGTTTAATAATGAAAGGCTATTTTTTTAACTTCCCGTAGGGCAAGTTATAGTAATCGCAAAAAAATTGAAAGTGAAATTTTTTATATATCTTTACGTTTCAGAAATTTTTGAATATTTTAGCATATCTCAGAAAAAATGGATGTATGTGTGTGTGTGTGTGCGCGTATGTGTGTGTGTCCGGATACAAATTTTCGTCGACGATGTCGTGAACACGGATCAACCGATTTGAATAATTCAAAAAACATTCGATTCGTAATGATAAGGAGACGCCCTGATTAGTTTTTGGCAAAGACTGGTCCAGCTGTTCTAAAGATATGGGGCAAAAAGTGCCGAAAACGGTACCTCAGTTTTTAAGAGAACGAAGCGTCCAATTTTAATAATTCAAAAAACATTTTACTTGTATTGACAAGATGAAGAATTGATCAAACTTTCATAAGGGTAGGTCTAGCGGTTTCGTAGATCTAATGAAAAAAGTAAAAAAAAATGCCATTTGGCGGTCAAAAATGATCATTAGACATGTGCACATCAAATTATCAGATATTTTAACAATAAGTATAAATTTTGTTTACATTCCTATGGGTTCCGTACCAATGTTTATCCGTTAAACAGCGACTCGGCGCTTACGCGCTTTATATTTTGTCCCTATGCATTTAAAGCAGTACGATTGCTTTGAAAAAAAGTTCAGATCTTCCAAAATATGTCAAAATGAAGAAAAAAAAATTTTTTTATATTTTTTTTTTCAAAAAAAAGTAATTTTTTGTCCAATTTATAGTTTCTCAAAAATCTAATTTTTTCGAAGTAAAGTTTTTTCAAAAATGTTAATCGTTTTTAATTTTTGGTACGGGAAGTTCTAACAATTTGCCTTAAGGCACGATGCCTTAATTGCCTTAAGACAGAATTCCACTTACAGCTAATTGCTCTCTATGATTAGCGCTCAATAGCGCAAAATCTCCAAAATAAATAAGTGATTTTTTTCAAAACCCAAATATTAATATTACATATGCATTAGAAATAATTGAAAAATTAAAAAAACCAAGTGTGTGTACCAAGTTTGATGAATATATTAGGTTGTCAAATATCTCCCTTCCGCTTTTTTGCTCTTGGTTTATAATACAAAAAGGCGGAAGGGAGATATTTGACAACCTAATATGATGAATGCAGATGAATGTATGGATATGAATAAATTATATACCAAGGGTCACACTAATGTGAGACTAATCTGTCAAAATTTCTTGAGTCGCAAGTTTGTGTGTTTTCCTTCTAGACTAGAGTTTAAAGCGATAAAACCATTAAAAATTCTTATTATTAATAAGAATTAGTTATAATATAATAAATATTTAGATAGTCATATTAGATATTTATTAAGAAGGATGTTTTCTATAAAAGATTCCGATGATGATGATGATTTATATACTCCTAACGCTAGGTATAAAAATATTGTTTTTATTTATACTACTTATTATATTTCTTCTAGTTACATTCGAAATGATGAATTAGATTAATTTTTTCAGTCAAAATTTAGAGCATCTTTTTAATGTACCTATGCAGCCAAACGAAAATGATGAGCTTCCAAGTCTGAAATATGTAGCCCCTAAACAATCTAAGGCTAAAAGTAATATCAGTGATTTAAATCAGGAGCTTGCACCACAAAACAAAGTTATTATTGCTAAAAGGATTACGGCTTATAAACTTATGTAAATATTCCAATCATTTTTTATTTAGAAAAGTACCTAATTTAAAGGTAATTCTCCTTTCATTTTATACTAGGCACTCCTGCCTGACTGAGATATGAAAATATGTATTATGTTGATTGATAATATATCAAACATAAAAAATATATTAATAATAATATTTGGTCTGCTGGATGGATCCTCGTCAGACTTTTAAACCAATTGAAATTTTACCACATTTCTATTTTTTGTTTGAAACGAGAAGCACATTTTCAATATATCATTGTAGTTGTCATATGTTTCTTGCTGCTTTCTGAGAATATATAAGAGTTACTGTCAATTTTAAATTTTTACTTAGAAAATAATCAGTGTTTGTCAGAACAATGTTGTTCGATATTACATTGGTTTGAAAATGGTAGGTACTTTAATATAAGTCACAAAAAAATAAGTTGTCGAATGATCTTTGAAAGGAGTTGACAATGATATGTTGGAATCGACCAATAAATTAAATAATTTGGCAGTGTTTAATAAGATTTTGATTAAATGTATGTATGAAATGTTTTCATCTACAATTATTTAATTTATTCATCAAATATGTTATTGATTTTCATTCTGATTTTTACTTCATTTCAGAAATAAGCAATATGTTGTACAAGGATTATTGGGATTAGCTTTGATTAAAGTAATTAATACAAAATTTCGAATTATATTATATAAAGATAAGCTAAACATTTTAAGTACCCATGATTTCACAGACAGCCATAAAGTAATAATACAAGATTTATATTATTATTTCACTGATAATTCTTCTGAAAATTGGTCTGTTTTATTTGAAAATGGCAAAGATTTAACAGAATTTGTTGAAGAAATGAAAAATACTGGTGCGGAAGTAGATATAACTAATAAAAGTTCTATTAAAAAAGAAAACACTGTGATTAACCAAACTGTGACAGATTATAAAGCAGATGATAGCTGTGATATTAAGGATACAAAAGCAAAAATATTAAATTTAATGGAGAAAATGGGTCAAACAAAACTGTTACCGGAAATACAAAGTTCACCTGTGGATAATACTACAGACTCCTCAGACAATGAGAATGTCAGACAGTCATCAAAACCTGTAGTTAAACCACGAAAACTCGAAACACGTACTATGAGTACTAAATCAAATATCATAAACCCTACTAATTCTATAAGCATGGTTAATTCTACCCAATATGCTTTGGTAAATGGACATTTAATGCCATTTTCACAAGATCAGCAGAATATTACTAACTCTTCAAATCCACAGTGGCTGGCTTCTTCAAGCTTACTACCTTCTCCAGCAAGTAATGAAAACCTCAACATGTATATTTGCGAAAATAGAATTCATAATTCTGAATTACGTATGAATATATCAAACATTGAAAGAAAATTAGAGAAAGTGTTAGATAAATTAGAGTCCTCTAATAAAAATGACACGTCAGGTGATGGCATAAATGTTATGTTGGATTATATTAGAGGACAAACTGAAAAACATAATCAGGAAATAGATTCACTAAAATTTAAATTGCAGCATTTTGAAACTAATGGAAAAAGAAAAGAAATATATTTGTCTGATAATGGAAGCAAGTTGGGTGATATTATAGAACAAAAAGAACAAGAAATTCTGGATTACAAGAAGCAAATAAATATACTAGAATTGAAATTGAAAGATTTTGAAGAATATTTTAAAGAAAAGTCGCCAATTTTGAAAAAATATGAAGAAGATATTATTAAATTCAAAGAACAGGAACAAAAAATAGAAAATCTTATGTTGAAGTTAAATGATTTTGAAGGATATTTCAACAAAAATTCATCAGTTTTAAAACAAGGTGAAGAAGATGGAATGAAATTAAAAGAACAACAAATAAAAATAGAAAATTTGACATTGAAATTGAAAGACTTTGAAGATTTTTATAAAAATAAGGCAGCTGAGTCTACACATAATGATGAATCAAAATCTCTGCAAATACTGTGCCAAGAAAAAGATATTCAAATAGCTGATCATGAAAAGACTATAATTAATTTGCAATTGAAATTAAACGAGTTTGAAGAATTGCATAAAGAATATGATGATAAACTTGTTGCAAAGGTTGAATCCATCAAAGAACTAAATTATAAGTTACAAAGATTAGAAGAAACAAATGAATCTTTGATATCAAAATTAAGCCAAATTGAAAATAATTCCCATGAAATTTCAAATCAAAGGATAAAATCTATTATGAATGAGGTTTATGCCTTATTGTCTAAAGAAATTGATGAAAATAATACATTCAAAGGAATCGACATTTTACAAAGTTTCAAAAAAGCAATAAAAGTTATTACATTGGAAACCTTAAGTAATAGGAAGGAAACACCTCCACCACCTCCAGATTTTGATGGGTGATTTTTAAAAGAAATTCGTATTCATAAGAAAATTTATATGATAAATTTGTTCATGTTGAATGTTAAATCTTAAAGAATGTTAATGTTAAAAAAATGCATATCATTGTGCTAATTTAATGATATTTTTATATGTTTTTTAAATTTTGTATTGTTATATATGATTCATTCTGTAGATAAAGTAAATTTTCATACTGTATGAACACAATGCTACATAATATATGACTATATGGCATTAAATAAATTTATTATCTACTCTTGATTTTGGGTTCAAATGGCTAAATAGCTCTTACGCTTTCAGTACCCCAGGAAAATCAAATTAACAAATGTTAACAAATCACAACATCTTATCATTTCATTAAGAAACCACACATACCCTGTCTTATATTTGGCATATGCAGGTATTTCATATTATAATCGAATTTATAAAATACCTAGGAAGTAGGAATGCATAAAGACAGTAAACTAAATTGGAAAATGCACATAACAATAAAAAGCATAACATTTTTTTAATTCTGAGAGAGCAAAACAAGATACTGAAAATTATCAGCAGTGTTTCATGTTTATGACCAATCACATGATCAACTAGTTGGTATTGGTATTTTGCCTTGAGGCAAGTTACATGAACTTTCCGATATGTGTAATTAATCGACCTAATCAATAAAAAATAAATTAATTTATGAGTGATTAAAAGTATTCCGCGTGGATGTATTACATATAATTGAAAGCGAACGAACACGTATTTTCTGAAAGCAAATTTTCAAAAATCAATAATTTTTATAATTGAACCAGTTTTCGTAGGACTTTAAAGGTTTAGTTTATTCATTAATACCAAGTACCTACTCTATCGTTATACCAAGTAAATCGTCAAACGTCAAAAAAACTACTCATTTTCTAAAACTTTGATGATTTTTTAAAATTAAACTCTACTTGTAAGGCCGTAATACTTCAATAAGTTGTTTAAGACTTGTTTATCTATGTTTAAGACCATAATATATATCATCAAAAAAAAAAAAATCAAAATCGGCTCAATTTTTTTTTCAACAACAAATTATAAGAAAACGGCTCGGTAGATTTTCTTCTTCTTCTAAAACTAATCAGTATCATTCCCAAATAATATCTTATGAACAGTTTTTGATTTTTTAAAATCGATTCGGTAATGAGCTTAAATTTGGACGAGAAGTTTAACACTTTTTTCCAAATTTCAATGGAACGGCTCGGCCGATCTTCGCACAAAACTGAGCGATATTCCTCATTGAGACACATCAAATGGTTTTTCAATTTTTGAAATCGGTTTAGGCGTTTTTGAGAAACATTGACGATGAAAGGTCTAATTTTGACAAATGCCAAAAAAACGATACTAATTTTTGCAAACTTTGTCGAATTTTTAAAGCTAAACGGGTTGTCGTAGGGCCGTAATCTTTTAGTATGATCTAGAAAACTATGGTATGTACCGTCAAAAAAATAATAATAAAAATCGTCGAAAAAAAATTTTCAACACTTTATTACAAGAAAACGGCTCGGCCGATCTCTACCGGCAACTCATCAGCACGATTTCCAGTCAATATCTTTCGAACGGTTTTTGAATTTTTAAAATCGATTCAGAACTGCGGGCTAAAACGTGGGCGATTTTTTTTTTACTTTTTTGCTATTTACAAAGAAACGGCTTGGCTGATCGTCGCGCAAAATCGATAAACGCTAGTCATTGAGATACATCGAATGGCTTTAAAATTTTTGAAATCGGTCCAGCCATTTACCATCGGTCCAGAAAACGTCGATTTACGGCAAACAATCTATTCACACAAACAAACTTTTTCCAAATTTGGCCTCATTCGATTCAGAATGGCTTGAAACGTCGAGAAAACATAAAATTAGCAAATCGGATTTTTTTATGAAAACATAAATTTCTCCTTCGGGAAGTTAAAAAGGACTTAAAAATTATTACTATAGTAGCGGAAGTTATTTATCGCAGAAACTTAAATTTTTCAACACAAATTGGATGCACACGCAAAACCTGAAGTACAAACAGTCCAATAATTGAAGCGACAAATAATTGAAGTCAGCCAAATAATTGAAGCGACTGAAGAGAAAATGGCCCAGTGATCTACCTCGGCTCACGTTTCACAGGTTTCTGAACATTTTGGCATACCTCAAATTGATGTGTGTGTGTGTTTTGTATGTCCGCAATTTTTTGTCCACGTTTTCGGGAGCACGAATTAACTGATTTGAATGGTTCAAAAACAGTCGATTCCTATTGATAGGGAGAAGTGGTAATTAGTTTTTGGCAAAGCAGGTCAAGCCATTTCGAAAATACAGAGCTAAATGTACAAAAATGGCAGTTTTTGAGAGAACTAAGTTTGCATGATTCAATAAAACTTTTTGCTTGCTGATGAAACGATTGCTTTTGTGAAAAAATATTTTAGATTTTTTTTAATAACAATATTTTTTTTACTAAATTTTATTTTTTGAATATTTTATTATGGTACGGAAAGTTCTAGCAATTTACTTTAAGGTGAGGCCAGTTAATTTTTATTTAATATCAAATATTATAAAATTCATATAAATATATAAGATATCTTCTTCGATAGATAAGATTCTTCATTCTAACTGCGCTTCATTAAGTTTTGTTTATTTACTTTTCATGTAAATGGGTATAAACGTCGTCCAATGTATAAGCTCTTATATTTTGTCTATAAAATACGAATAATGAAAGATTCAGTAAATATAATAATCTATTGCAAAACATTTAATATTCTTCGAATATTTCATTAAGGTGCGCAAAATTTCAGCAATTTGCCGGTTGACGATTGCCAAGAAACTCGCAATACTTACCAGATCAAGAAGCCTTGTTGTAATCTCTATGAAATTGTGTAGTAAATCAATTAATTACACATACATATATATAATAAGTCACTTTCATGGAACAAATATTCTATTTATTTTTGTGCCATGGCAACGTACTTTTTAAATCAATAATTACAAGTCTAACTTGTACTGTACCAAACCGCTATCAATGATTGCGAATATATATTTTGTGAACTGATTAACTATATTCAACAATGGATAAACTTAAAACGGGAAAAAACCAAGATGAATTGGAAATGGATCAATTGGCATATGCTGAATTGAATCGGTTACAACGTCAGGTAAAATATTTGATTTATACTACATGTAATATAAGGTCTATTGGAAACTCTCCTAAAGTTTAGTAAAGTTTATTAAATCTTTAATTGACCTTATATTTTATTGACATTTGTTATTATAATTACTTAAGTAATTCATGATAATTTTTATGTTTTTGTATAAAAATATTACAAAACAATATTAAAACCATATTTTCAAATAAAATACCTATTTATAATAGTTCAGTATGCGTGCATATTAAGTTCTTATCGATAATTTTTAAATAAATATGCTAGTGAATTTATTGTTTAATTATTATAGTATCGCATAATGGAATCTGATCGGATAAAATTTGCCGAAGCAAGTGCAGCCGTTACTGCTCGTGGGACAAACTTGATAGCAGGATTACAACGTGAATATAATAAATTGCAGCAGGTACTAGATGCTGCGGAGCAGCCGGCAGCCAAGCGAAGGGAAAAAGAAGCGGCTCGAAATCTTTCAATTATGTTGGATAAACATGCGCAACTTAAGGAAAAGATTGCAAAAGAAAGGACCGAAATACATGAGCTTGACATCCAGATTGCTAGAGTATGTACTCAATCATAATATAAACTAGCTGTAAGTGAAATTCTGTCTTAAAGCAATTAAGGCATCGTGCCTTAAGGCAAATTGCTGGAACTTCCCGTGCCAAAAATTATTATTTTTTTAAAAACGATTAACATTTTTGAAAAAATTTTACTTCGAAAAAATAAGATTTTTTGGAAATTTTAAATTGGACGAAAAATTACTTTTTTTTGAAAAAAAAATTTTTTTTAAAAAAAATTTTTAAACAATTTTTTTTATAAAAATTTTTTCTTGAAAAAATGTTATCTTCATTTTGACATATTTTGGAAGATCTGAACTTTTTTTCAAAGCAATCGTACTTCTTTAACTGCATAGAGACAAAAAATAAAGCGCGTAAGCGCCGCGTCGCTGTCTAACGGAAAAACATTAGTACGGAACCCATAGGAATGTAAACAAAACTTATACTTATTGTTAAAATCTCAATAAAATATCTGATAATTTGATATGCATATGTCTAATGTCTAATGATTATTGTTGACCGCCATATGTTATTTTTTTTTTAGTTTTTTTTACTAGATCTCCGAAACCGCTAGACCTATCTTCATGAAAATTTAATCAAATCTTCATCTTGTTAATACAAGTAAAATGTTTTTTGAACTATACAAATCGGACGCTCCGTTCTCTTAAAAACTGAGTTACCGTTTTTGGCCCTTTTTGCCCCATATCTTCGGAACGGCTAGACCTGCCTTTGACAAAAACTAATCAGCACGTCTCCTTATCAATACGAATCGAATGTTTTTTGAATTATTCAAATTGCTTCATCCGTGTTCCCGAAATCGTCGACGAAAATTTGTATCCGAACACACACACATGCACGCACACACACACACACACACATACATCAATTTTCTCCAAGGTATGCCAACATATTCAGAAACCTCTGAAACGTGAAGATATATAAAAATTTTCATTTTCGATTTTTTTGCGATTACTTACCCTATGGAAAGTTAATTATAAATAAATCAATTTATCATCTCCAGAACATTAACAATCGTCATTTCATTTCGAATCAAATTCAAAAAAAAAAAAAAGTTGCCAAATTTACACAAAATTGAAAAAGTGCTCCTGCATAGTCACAGTCTAAACGCATTTGCAAATAATTCTGTGCGACATTTTCACTTATACTGTGCTCAGATTGGCGGCATTTTCACATTTTTCAATAATTTTCACAAAATTGGAAAAGTGCTTCAGTACACAAACAGTCTAAACGCACTTGCGTAAGCATTTGTACCAGAGTGGCGCTTAGACTGTGCTTAGCCTGGGTGATTTTTTGAATTTTTAGTCCAAAATTACAAAAAAAAATTTTTGAAAAAAAAATTAAAACAAAAATTTTTTTTTTCCAAAATCAATTATTTTGTTGA